GTGGTCGGTAAGTGGCGACGCACAGCAAGGCAAGCAGCAGCATTGCGTGTGGCCCACTGTGAGGGAATAGTGCTATCAGCAGTAGCAGGCGGGGCAGGAGAGGCACCAGAGGTGAGATCAAACAGAGATAGTCCGTCTGACCTATCGCACTAGAGAAACAGCTGGAGGTCATCGACCCAGACCTCAAAGTCAACGGCACGGCCCTCAGCATCAAAAGTAAGGACACTGGAGGTAGCCATGACTGCAGTGGCCTAGCAAGAAGTGAGCTCACCAGTCCGAGGAAGGAGGGCCGGGGCGCACCGGTAGGAACAGCAGCAGCTCGACAGTAGGGCGACTCGGCGGCTCGGCGGCAGGGCGGCTCGGCTGCTGGGCGGCTCGGGTGCTGGGCGGCACGGCGGCTCGGCGGCTCGGCTGCTGGGCGGCTCGGCTGATGGGCGGCTCGGCTGCTGGGCGGCTCGGCTGCTGGGCGGTTCGGCTGCTGGGCGGCTCGGCTGCTCGGCAGGTGGGCGGCTCGGGTGCTGGGCTGCTCGGCGGCTCGGTCGCTGGGCGGCTGGGCAGTCACAGGGCCGCTAGGGGAGGGCGACGGGGCCGCAGGTGACGGCGACGGGGCCGCAGGTGACGGCGACGGGGCCGCAGGTGGTGGCGGGGCTGCAAGTGGCGGCTGCGTGGCTGTAGGTTGCGGCGACGGGGCCGCAAGGGGCGGCGACGGGGCCGCAGGGGGCGGCGACGGGGCTGCAGGTGGCGGCGACGAGGTCGCAGGTGGCGGCGACGGGGCCGCAGGTGGGCCGCAGAGGGGCCGCAAGGGGCCCTAGACGGGGCCGTAGAGGGGGCCGCAAGGGGCCTAGACGGGACCGAAGAGGGGCCTTAAGGGGCCGGAAGGGGCCGTAAGGGGCCGGAAAGGGCGCCGCGAGGGGCCGAAAGGGGGCCGCGCGAGGGCCGTAAGGGCGGCGTGAGGGGCACAAGGGCGACGCGAGGGGCCGTAAGGGGCCGTAAGGGCAGCGCGAGGGGCTGCAAGGGGCCGTAAGGGCGGCGCGAGGGGCCGTAGAGGGCGGCGCTAGGGGCCGTAAGGGTGGCGTAAGGGGCCGTGAGAGGGGCCACTAAGGGCGGCGCGAAGGTAGGGAGGGCACACAGAGCGCGACTCGTGCAGGAGTGAAGCGCGCTCCGGGCAGGAAAAAAAAAATATCGTGGTGGGCCCTAGGTAGCGTTCCCACTAGGGAACCTGCTCGATACCATGATAAGAAACGAGGAATGAGTGCATTGAGCAGAATGATGAGTACAAGTAGTAAACCCTAAAGTGTTGTACCCCATATGAACTGCCCCACTACAGCCTACACAGACTATAGCATATATGCCTGACAGCGGCTGCTCCAGGGGCGGCTGATGCAGGGGCGGCTGCTCCTGGGGCGGCTGCTTCAGTGGCGGCTGCTCCAGGGGCGGCTGCTGCAATGGCGGCTGCTCCAGGGGCGGCTGCTGCAGTGGCGGCTGCTCCAGGGGCGGCTGCTGCAGGGGCGGCTGCTCCAGGGGCGGCTGCTGCAGGGGTGGCTGCTCCAGGGGCGGCTGCTGCAGTGGCGGCTGCTCCAGGGGCGGCTGCTGCAAGGGTGGCTGCTCCAGGGGTGGCTGCTGCAGGGGCGGCTGCTGCAATGGCGGCTGCTCCAGGTTCGGGTTAGGGCAGGGCGCCGCGGCGGGCAGGGGTGACGCCACGCGGGTCCCGCAGGGGCGTCGCGACGCACAGGAGCCGCGCCTCGCGGGTCCCGCAGGGGCGACGCGACGAGGCGGGGGGCGACGCAGCGGGGCCGCGTCTGGCGACGAGGCGAGGTTGCGAAGGGGCCGCGAAGGGAGCCGTGAGGGGGCCGCGAAGGGGCCGCGAAGGGGCCGCGAGGGGGGGCCGCGAGGAGGCCTTGAAGGGGCCGCGAAGGGAGCCGTGAGGGGGGGGGCACGAGGGGGCCGTGAAGGGGCCGCGAAGGGGCTGCGAAGGGGCCGTGAAGGGCGGCGACGGGGCCAATAGGGGCGGCGACGGGGCCAATAGGGGCGGCGACGGGGCCGCTAGGGGCGGCGACGGGGCCGCGAAGGGGCCGCGAGGGGCCTCGAAGGGCGGCGACGGGGCCGCTAGGGGCGGCGACGGGGCCATATAGGGTGGCGACGGGGCCGCTAGGGGTGGCGACGGGGCCGCTAAGGGTGGCGCGAGGGGCCGTGAGAGGGGCCTCTAGGAGGGCGCGACAGGCCGCTAAGGGCAGGGGACGCGACGAGAGGGTGGCCTTCGGGGCGCGCCTCGGGCGACTCGCGCTCCGGTCAGGAAAAAAAAAAATCGATTTCAGTGGTGGGCCCTAGGAAGCGTTCCCACTAGGGAACCTGCTCTGTACCTTGTGAAGAATGAGGAATGAGTGAATTAGGAAAGAGGTGGGTACAAGTAGGAAAACCTAGAAATGTTGTACCCCATATTGTCTACCCCACTATAGCCTACACAGACTATAGCATATAGGTTTGACAAGCTATAATACGGAATGTGTAAGAAAAGGTGGGTGTTATAAAAAAATTCACCCAAAAAGGGGGGGTATAGTACAAACGAGGTCGCCTATAACACCCACCCTGCACAAGCTACCCTAGGGGTGTACAATTTCGGGGGGTGTTTTGTCCGGGAGAATACGGGTATCCTAAGCTAGGTACACGCAAGCGTCCAGATCCGACACTAGTATAGACAACATGATACATGAAAGTGTAAATATCATCTATTGACACATCAAACACATAGTAACCACGGCGAAGCAAAACAGGTAAGGAAAAGGGAATCGAGTCAGGCACGAAGCACTCACGGTAGAGGTCATGGAGGTGTCTGAAGCAGCGCAATGCGGAGTAGTCAGGACGGTTGCAGGTAGTGCAGGACGAGGACCAGTCAGGATCCGGTATTGGTAGGGCCTGGCGTCGCGACCAGTGCGACGAGGCTACCAGCTGTCTGTTCCGCCGCTGGGACCAACGCTCCTCGGGCCACCAGGTCGCCCTGCTCCTGAGGGCACCACTGCTAAAACTGTTGCGGTCGCTGTCCCTGCTACTGCAGAACTCTAGCGGACACCATGGGAAAAGCTACAGGTGGGCGCAGGAGCGGCAAATTAGAAACACTTAGCACGAGGAACGGTTGGAGTGTTAAAAAATGGTGTGTTCATATATAATTGCATGTTTTAGCTAGTAGTGTAGGGTCTTGGTGGTATACCCCCCTTTGTCCACCAACCTATATATTGTAACTCTCTCATATTGTAAACCCTCTTTTGTTTGGCCAACACCTGTCGCTCTTCAATCTCCTTCCTCCTAAGCCTAACTATGGTTCCTAAGCTAAGCTCTCAATCTTGATATGGTTTCAGAGCAAGTTCCGTCCTGGAAACTTCCTGCTCTTGTCAGGGAAATGGACCCGCCTCGCGTGCAGCCCGTTTTACCCCGCGCGCAGCCCGTTTTTCCCGTGCGCGGCCCGTTCTGCCCTGTGCACCGCCCGTCCCGTCCCGATTCCTGTCGTCATGTTTTAGCTAGTAGTGTAGGGTCTTGGTGGTATACCCCCCTTTGTCCACCTACCTATATCTTGTAACTCTCTCATATTGTAAACCCTCTTTTGTTTGGCCAACACCTCTCACTCTTCAATCTCCTTCCTCCTAAGCCTAACTATGGTTCCTAAGCTAAGCTCTCAATCTTGACATGGTTTCAGAGCAAGTTCCGTCCTGGAAACTTCCTGCTCTTGTCAGGGAAATGGACCCGCCTCGCGTGCAGCCCGTTTTACCCCGCGCGCAGCCCGTTTTTCCCGTGCGCGGCCCGTTCTGCCCTGCGCACAGCCCGTCCCGTCCCGATTCCTGTCGTCCGCGCCCCCCCCCCCCCCCCCTTCGTCGACCCACGGCGCCCCGCGTTTCGTCGCCACGGCGCCCCGCGTTTCGTCACCACGGCGTCTCGCGTCCCATCGCCGCGGCGCCCCGCGTCCCGTCGCGGCCCGCTGCCCTGCTTCTCGTCGCCGCGGGCAGCAGCTGACGCTGCCCTTCCCCCCCCCCCCCCCCCCCCCCCCCACCCCCCCCCCCCCTCCCCCACCCGCCCTCCCTTCCGCGGCTTCTGTCGTGGGGGGGGGGAGGGGGAGACGTGGGGGTGGCGGGTGTGAACCACCAGCAGGCCGTCCCTCCCTTCCCTTCCCGCTTCCTCTCTCCACTACAGCACTTGTTGCTGTTGGGGGGGGGGGGGGGAGAGAGGTTAAGGGGGGATGAGAGAGGTTTAGGGGGTGGAGAGAAAGAGAGAGAGAGAGAGAGATTTGGCCCCTCGTTTCCGTCGTCGTCGCTCTCACCGGGCATCCATTGCGGGGGTTAAACCGCATGCGGGTATCCTACCGAAGGGCCCAGCTGCTGCATGGTGATTGATGCACTCCCTACACCAACTAGTCTGCATGCAATTAAGGGGGGGATGTTAGAATATGTATTCTTATATAATTGCATGTTTTAGCTAGTAGTGTAGGGTCTTGGTGGTATACCCCCCTTTGTCCACCTTTCCTACCTATCTTGTAACTCTCTCATATTGTAAACCCTCTTTTGTCTGGCCGACACCTCTCGCTCTTCAATCTCCTTCCTCCTAAGCCTAACTATGGTTCCTATGCTAAGCTCTCAATCTTCACATGGAGCTAGAAACGGCTGGAGCAGGAGTGACAGGAGCTAGAAACGGCTGGAGCAGGAGTGACCGGAGCTAGGAACAGCCGGAGCGAGACACGGCCGGAGCTGGGAGCGGCTGGAGCTAGGACTGGCTGGAGCTAGGACTGGCTGGAGCTGGGTTTGGCTGGAGCTAGGATTGGCTAGGAGCTTCGGTTCGTGGTTGAGGATATAATTCCAGAGTCAAGCCTGCACATTCTAGAATTTGGGGTTTATGCAATGTTGTACAATTCCAGTAAGGTACTATTCTTCATGCAATTGCAACAATGCTGGAGTTGTTTTTTTAGTATGGACAAACAGGCGAAGTATTTGAAAATCTTGCGAAATTTCATGAATAATTTACAGCCAAATAAATACAGACTCCCAGCAAGAGTTCCCATTCTCTGAAGCACCCCCTCCATTCTGGCTGGCAGGTGCTTGTCCATTCTGCTGATGCTGCTGCTGGCTGGGCGGCACCACCAGCCTGTCCCTCGTCTCAGCCGTCTCCTGCTGCCACGTCACACTCTGAGCTATGGCATCAAGGGAGGGCGGCGAGGTGGGGAATGGGGAGGAGAGCAGAGCGGCGAGGTCGAGGGACTCTGCGGGGCCGCCAGTGCGCTGCGCGACGATGAGCTGGTTGCCGTGCACCACCGCCCTGCATGCTCCACTGGCGTGCTGCCGTGCATGGGAGAGATGGAGGGGAAAAGAGAGCATGAGGAAGTAGTGACGAGCTGGTCAACGATGTGGGCAGTGAAAGAGGGGCAGGCGAGCGAGTTGGAGAGGACGCAATGGAACTGGTGGGGTACTCGTGCTGTGAGGACCACCCAGCATCCACCACGAAATGCTTCACATGCAAGTGCCATTACTTAGAATGGAACACATGCATTGAGCACACTGGCCTCATCGGTGAATTCTCACACAGCAGTCCAAGCCGGCGCAGTGGCCACGCGGTAGCTGTGAGGTGCACAGTGCTCTTACTGTGAGGGGTGGCAGGGTAGTCCACGTGTTGCTGCTGACGTGGTACAGCTCAGCATCGAATAAAGCCTCCCCACTGGATGCATAGCCACCAGCTACTGCCACGTAGGTCTGGAGTGGGAGTGGGGTGACACACGTACGAGGTATTCGTTTTGTGGGCGCAGCGTGGGAGAACCAAGCTGTGACGGCTTGGACACACATCTGCGGAGCGGCTGACGTCAGCAGTGCGCGAGCAGCTGCGGGTACCTGGCGAGAGGAGGGGTGCATCCACGCGGCGACGCCAAACGCGAATCGGGCGGTGGGCATGGGCGCAAGAACGTGCCACGAGTCGGTGAGCGCATTGTATGCGTGCGCGTCCGCGTATGCGCGCACCACCTCGCGGCAGAACACGGGGAATGGCGAGCGCCCGCCCAGCACCAGCAGCTCGGGCTCGCTCGGAATGCCTGCTCGCGCGCACGCCGGACCAGGGGCAAGGGGGACGGATCATGTGCAGGGGAGGGAGGGTGAGGCGTGCGATTATGAGATGTGCGCGCGTGAACGCGGCAGCAGTAAGGGCGGACCGCCACGTGTAAGTGCGGGGGAATCAAACAGAAATCATGCTTGTATGGAGGGAGGGATGGGAAAGGAAGGGAACTGGGAACATGAGGAAATGACTCGCTAAGCGGGCGAGACGGTGTGAGGCGGCGGGCGGGCGGAGAGGGCGGGCACTGACAGACGGCGCCGTACTGCAGGCGGAGAGGGCCCGCCAGCGGCGTCACGCGCACGTCGCTTGCGTCCTCGCTCGTGCGGCACCTGCCGCAAGACGTGGCGGCGTCCGCATGATGGGCGCAGGCGCTCATGTCGATTCGGTTCATGTCGTTGCTGCTGCTGCTCCGCTGCCGCGCCAGTCTGGGGGTTTGGAAGAAATACGGTGGGGGTTTGGAAGAAATACGGCGGCAAGAAAAGCGTTTGGAACGGGGTAGAGTCACGCTAAAAAAGCGGCGAGAGTGGCACGGCGGCGGCAAGCAGGCGAGACATTGGGCGACGGGCTGGGTGGGTCTAAGGACTCGGTAAAAGTAGATGATCGATCACGATCGGCGATCGGTGCGCAGTTCGGTTACCCTGTTTACTAACAAGTAACCATGCTACAGCAATAGTTATGGCTACATTTTGTGCACAGTTAATGACGGCGACTGATCACCGATCGGTATTGGATTGCCCGGTACATCAAACTGGACTGATATGCACGAACCGAGCACAACAGGTGGGATTGATGCTGATGTCAGCGATTTCGAAAATTTTCGCTGGCGGTTCAATCTGGTAAACATAACTTCGCCAGGTGTTGTTGGCCTGTGTGCTGCGAGTGTCGCAGGTGCTTTTGAGCGAAGTGAGTTTTTCATAGACGGTGTCGCAGGCAAAACCACATTCGCTAGTATGCAACATCCAACACATCAAGCGCCGACGATCGTTACAGCCACGTGAGCGACGCGTTTCGCCGATCGAACCGCCAAATCGGTTTCGAGGTTCGATTTTGCAGCGCGAGCCAACGATCTTCTTACTTGAACCGCGTCCTAAGGGGAGGACTCTCACCCGCGAGACGGCTGCGGGCGCGAGAGATGGCGGCGGGCTTTACCAGCGAGCCCCTGGAAGGCGGCGTCGCGGTACTCGTTCTCGAGGTCGACGCGCCACAGCTCCGTCAGTCCCTCCGCGCGGCGGATCTGCGGGGAGAGAGGAGAGCGGGAAGGGCGGTTGGGCTGGATGGAACGAGCGTGCGTGGGGGGGTGCAATGCTGGCGGGGAGCGGGAGTTGCGATGCAAGGGGCAGGGAAAACACGCGCTATCACTCGAATTAACCGTGCGGGTGTTGAGTATCCTCTAAACGTTCACGGCGGACTCTACGTCAGATCAGCATTGACCGACGTACTTCCACAGAGTGGCTAGCCCATGTCAAAGTCAGCAAGTCGCCGAGTTCAGCAAGAGACGCGCGTTACGTCTAGTCGTCGGGTCGGTGAGCGCTGGTGGGCTCAGTCCAGATGGTGGTGGGCGGCGAGCTCACCTGGTGCAGCGAGAGGGGGTCCGCCAGGTGGCGCCACGCGGCGCAGACGGCGTGCAGCGAGCGGTAGAGTGGGAAGGGCACGGCGGCGAGACAACGCAGCAGAATGTGGTCCGGCAGCGACGCGGGCGGGGTGCTGCCTCCGGGCATAGCGACGCACGCGGCGTCGTCAGGTGAAACAGAACTAGCTGCTGCTCCTATCGCTAGACACTCCTGTGTGGGGCGACATGGCTGCGGATAAGAAATTGCTGTTGCAAATGGTTGTGGAGATAGGCGGATCAAATGACGGTGGGTGAGCGTAAGTGGTGTTGAAGTGATCGCTGCGATGGCTCGAGAAATGGAGGACTATCCATGTTTGCTGATGGGCCGAGCAGAGAGGCGGAACAGGTTCTGGTTCGATTATGATGCTGATGTGATGTGATAGGTTTGGCACAGTGTGGTTGATGATGCCCGCTTTCCGCCCCCCACTTCATCCCTTCAGCTCTACCAGCCAACATCCGTTCCAACAAGCTGACAGAATTTGCACCCAAAACAGTCTGCCAAAGATCGGCGGTGGCAAAGCGAATCGCCACCCAGCTGCCACTGCAATGCTTTGATTTCATCCCGCCAGCCCGTTTCCCTCGACAATCAACACGATTACGGCAAGTCCTCACGTTGGCGAAGTCGCTGAAGCGATGCCATCCAACCGCAGGAAATCGTTCATCCAGATCGACTGCTGGTGGCGAAAAGGGAGAGTTCGTTGATGCGATGCGATGGCGTCGGACGAGGATGAAATTTGGTTCGTCTTTGCACTGATTGGCCCTTGCAAGACATCAGAGAATTCCATCTCCAAGTCAAACCCGTTGTAGTGCAACTCACGAGGACCGATGGGATTTGCTGAGGAAGTGTGATATATTGCAGCCATCTGCCCGTTGCTCGGATCAAACCCAAGATTCTCCCGATAGGGTCTTCTACAGTTCCCGCTAACATGAATCCCCTTACAATCATGGTACTGTAACTGTATTAGTTCATGAGTTAGATTACTTCGTCATTGTGACTTTACGGTATATTGCAGATCACTGCTTTGACCATTCAACCTACCCCGACCCAATGTGGGGGCCTCTCTTATCCAGGGCATCACAGCAACCGGCTTTCCTCGTTAGTACACTGCATGCCTTGTTTTTCGGTGATGCATGGTAACACTGACGCATGAACAGGCAGTAGGAAGTAACAGCAGCGATTACGGGTCTTCAGTATGTGTAAGTAATGATGAGTCGTATGTACATTCCGAGCTATCAAAGGTGATCCAGGCTTTGCTCTTTGCACGTAGAGCAGGAGCTAAGGGAATGGTGCACGCACCTTCCCCTATGCTGTGCGCGCTTGCTATTCTTAGCGAGCCACTGAGCAGCTGCTGCCTATCTTGCCAGAATCCCCTCTACCAGCAGTACACTGCATGACACGCACGTGTGGTGCTCACCCACCCCAGCAGCAACACTCCCAGCGGGCAGCAGCCTAGGGGGCGTCGATCTTGTCAAAGGACTGCAGCTCTCGGAAGCCCTCCCATGGCTTCTCCCACACCACCGCCTCGTACTGCGCCGTGGCAGGTGCGGTGGTGGAGGGCAGGTGTGCGGTGAGGCGGATGCGGTGCAGCGTGCCCGCCACCACCTGCTCACTCGCCCCCTCCACCGCCTGCAACCTCAGTGCCGTGTTCTGCCATGCGTGGGCCACAGGTGGGTGGGGGTGGGATGGAAGGGGGGGGCTGGAGATGGGATGGTGGAAGCAGCACATAACGGCAGTGGGAAGGGCAGCAAATATATTGATAAGCTATAACTACAACAACAGAAACGAGCATGACAGGTGAGGTGGGAAGAAGGGCGGAAGCACTAGGGCAGTGCAACATAGGTGGATATGCAAGTGATCTGGCTGCGTGTGAACTGGCTGTGAGTGAACTGAGTGCAATCTTGCACTCAGTTGGTCCGATCAACCCACCTGCCCCCTTCGCCCCCTCCCCCCCTCCCCTCACCACCCTTCCACCTGCTTCTTGTTGTGCTCGTCCACTGCCCACTGCGCCAGCTGCTGCACGGCCGCGCTGTTGCCCGCCCCCTCCACCACCTTGGCTGCCCCCACCATCGCCATGCGCACCACCTGCACCTGCTGTCAAGCGCTGCAGGGGAGAGGGCATGTGGAGGGAGTCATGGAGCAAGGCACATGCGCAACTGGAAGGGCGCATAGTATGGGTCTCTGCTACTGTGTGAGTGACCGTACATACAGAGACTGGGTAGGCAGGTTGAGAGACAAGAAGCCACACAAAGTCAGAAGAGCACAAGGGACTGCCCAGGAGCAGCTACCATCCCCAACTTCCTCTTGCAACCCCTGGGCCCCTGCCTCTCAGTGTTTTTCCTTTTTTCCCTTCTATCTTCCCTCAACCAATCCCCCCCTCCCTTCCCCTCTCACTTGCTTAAGATGAACCATTCGCCTCTTTCACAATCATCGAAACCTCCCTTCGCCCACAACTAGGCCCATCTCCCCCTGTCGTCCCCACCTACTCTGTCACCCACCCTATCCTCCTTCGTATCCTCTAACCTCGCTTCCTCTCTCCTCCTGACCAACCCCCCCTCTCCCCCTTCTTCTCTCAACGCCAAGGATAAAAAATACGGTTTTCTTAAAAAACGGTCTGTTTTTTATGGTCCGTTTTTTACGGTAATTTTCCAAAAAAACGGCGTTTTTATGTTAGAGATGTGTTGTCACCAACAAAAAAAGGGAAAAACAAGGTCGAATACATTTTCAGTCATGCCCACAAGCGCACGCATGCAAGGAGGGGTTCGTCCTCTTCATCCTGGTACCTTTCGCCATCAATTTGGTCCCAGAAATCGGCCGATTTTTCTTCAAACGAAACCACCGTCTGGAACCCTGTTAACCGTTTTTTACGGTCGTTTTTTACGGCCGTTTTTTACGTTAAATTTTCAAAAAAACGACGTTTTTTTTTACCTTGCTCAACGCCAACCAACGTGCAAAATTACAGTCGTTTTTTTGAAAAAAACCGTGAAATGCGGTAACGTGTAACAGGTTCCTGTTAGAAACCGTAGAGCAGTTTAAAAAATACGGCCGTATTTTTTGCACCTTAAACCAACCTCACCTCGCCTTTCCCTAACCCAGGCGTGTATTTCCCCCAGAGCATACCCGCTATCCTTCCTCACTTGTTCCACCACCTCACATCGACCCCCTCCTTTCACACTCTTCAACCTCTCACCACCCCCATTTCTCCCACGCCCAATCTAAAGCCCTCACTACCCCCATCCCTTCACGCTCTTCAACCTCTCTTCCTCACTGGTCTCTATTTCCCTCCCTCTCTCCCTCTCTCCCTCCTTCCCTCCCTCTACCTCTCCCTCCCTACCTCTCTCCCACCCTCCCTCCCTCCCTCTCTCCCTCCCTCCTCTCTCCCTCCCTCCCTCCTCCCTCCCTCCCCCGCCCCCCGCCCCTCTTCGTCCCCTCAACCCTCACCGCGTCGTTGCCGTTCGGAGAAAGAGGAGCACGCGGAGCGCCTGGATGGAGCAAGTGGGGGGCGTGACGGAATGAGACAGCCGCAAGTGAGACGGCAGCGAGTGAGACGGCAGTGAGTGGGACGGCAGTGAGGTGGCAGTGAGCGAGGTGGCAACGAGTGAGACGGCAGCGAGTGAGACTGCAGCGAGTGTGACGACAGCACGCCGGGAGCGCGCGTGGCGCCAGAAAACGTGGCGGCGGCACCACGCCGCCTCTAGCGCGCCTCGTGCCGGCAAACGCGCCCCTCGCGTCAAGGCCCAAGGCGTCAAGGCCCCTCGCGGGCCCAAGGTGCAACAGCGGGTTAGGCGTGAGCTCGTCACCGCAGCGCGCGCGTGATGCCGCGTGGGTGGCAGGGATCGCGCTCAGCACTTGGAGCAGCCTATCAGCGCTTACCTTGGTATAAGTAGAGTGAGACGTTAGGAGACTAGGTTAAAAAAAAAACGAGTTTCTACCTGTAAGAGACGGGGATGATATTCCTTCAGTGCTTGGGCTCGTTCGGTCGGATCGCTCGAGGTCTGCCGAGTTGGCTAGTTGTCAAAACCTATATTTCAGTGCTTTATGCGAGTCTGGTATGAGGCGCCCGTTGTAGGAACACGCCGCGCGTGTCTTTTGGAGTGTATAGTAATTCTTTCAGATCAAGCCCATAGAGAGACAGTGCGCTCGTAAACGAATAACGAGACTGTAATTCAATGAACTAAGAATACAATGTAGGGGTTAGCCTAGCTAGAAGGGAACCTCGGACGAGCGAGGTTGGGTGCAGGTTTGGCGACGGGAAATTCCGAAGGGGACGGGAAATGCCGAACGCGACGCGAGGAGCCTCGGCAGCGTTGAGGTCGGCCGAACGTGCAGAGTCCGAAAGTCGGGGCTGTACGCGAAGCAGTCAACCCCAATAAGAAATTCAGGAAAATTCCTTATACCACCCCCACCCCCCTTAAGAAAGGCGGTCAATATCCGCAACACGCTTGCGCGCGAGGTAATCACCAACAAGTGGTGAGGCGTCCAACGAGGCGGATGGTATCCACGTGTCGTCTTCACTGGTGCGATCAGTCCAACGGAGGAAGAAATCCACGTAGCGACCAGCTGCGTCAAGGCGAACCCGATGTGCCAGAATCTTTGATGGGTCAAGAGTCGGCTCCTGGATAGGTCGTGTTGTTGGGGCAGCATTTTGTCGCGCGATGTCTGTCGTGGCTGGTACGAATTTTCGAAGCAGGCTGACGTGGAAGGCGTCATGAATGCGCCAGTTATCGGGTAGCAGCAGCTTCGCGGTGAGAGGTGTCACCATCTTGATAAGCTTGAAAGGCCCACAAAATCGTGGCCGGAGTTTCGACGGGCCCGGCAAGTGCAGGTTTTTCGTGTCAAGTACTACTAGTTGCCCAAATGCCAAGACGCGTTCTCGGCGTAGAAGGTCGGTGTATTTGCGCGAAGTCGTATTTGCCTTGCGAATTGCGTCCGCGGATTTCTCACAAATTTCCTGCAGCTCTGTCACAAATGTTTGTGACCTCGGGACGGGATTGTCGAGCGTAGTCGTGGTAGGTACTGTCAGGTCCATCCCGTAATTCAAGAAAAACAGAGAGTGATTAGTCATACTGGACGGGGCGTTGTTGAATGCAAATTCCAGCATGGCGAGAGACTGTTCCTAGCGAGTCGGGTCAGGCAATTTGTCCTAATCAGCTGCTCCATGGTCTGATTGGTGCGCTCGGTCTGGCCGTCCGTCTGTGGATGGTATGCCGAGGAGAACTGTACTTTGGTGCCATACTGTGCCCACGTCTCCTTACAAATCTTTGACGTGAACTTCGGATCTCGATCGCTGATGATCGCCGAGGGAATTCCGTGCAGTCGCATGACTGTTGAGATGAAGAGGCGCGCGATATCTTCGGCTCAGATGGTTGTAGGACACAGTGCAAAGTGCGCCATTTTCGTGAGGCGGTCGACGACAACGAGAACCGCGTCGTTCCCGGACGGTCCAGCTGGCGACCCTGTGACGAAATCCATCGTCACTTGTTGCCACAGCCGTTCGGGTGGCTCGTGTGGCTGCAGCAATCCAGCTGGCCGTTGGCGTGTCGACTTCATTATTTGGCACACCCTGCATGAGGACACTTATCGCTGCATGTCATTAGAGGAGTCAGGCCAGTAATATCGACGGTGCAACAATTTCTGGGATTTATCAACCCCGTGTCAGAATGAGAAACGAGAATGAGGAGTGACTAGCAGGAACAACAGTACAAATATGTCAAACCCTAATCTGGTGTACCCCTTATGGTGTGACCCACTACAGCCTAGAACCACACAAACATATAAATGTTTGACACACCCCCATAGGCAAAGTGGGGGAGACCTAGGGGTCACAAGACCAGTCAAGGCAAAACAAGGCAAACACGCTCAGGGTGGATCTCGAGGATTCCACACAAATTCCGAGCACAAGCAAGCGGTCACAAGACCAGTTCACATGCAGTTTTATAATAGAGCAAGAGGTACAATAATCACAACCTAACAAGGCAAACATGCAGGTATATATATAATGATCACAGTACAGGTAAAGTCAAGAAGTAAGTAAGTGAGAAACAGTCGGCACAAGGCCTAGAAGAGTGCAAAAACGCTGATGGTCAACATGCGGAAGCGACTTGGTGAACACATCAGCAGTGTTCGCATCAGTGGCCACGTAACGCAGAAGAAGCTGACCACGCTGCTGTAGCTCTCGAGCTAGAAAGTAACGCAGAGCAATGTGCTTCGTCCTGTGCTCCAGTCTGTGCTCCTGGCACAAGGCAATGGTTGCCTTGTTGTCGACGTACAGCACTGGAGGAGAACGAGGCTGCTCTCCAAGGTCAGTCAGCAGGTAGGTGAGCCAGCGAAGCTCCTGGGCAGCCATGGCCGTGGCGTAGATCTCAGCCTCACAGCTGGAGCTGAGAACAGAAGAAGAACGAGTAGAACGCCAAGAGATAGAGCCAGAGCCAAGACTGAAGGTGTAACCCTGAGACGACCGCTGAGTAGCCTGGTCGTCTGCCCAAGAAGCGTCTTAGTGCCCAGTAAGAACAGGCCGGTCTCGCCCTCCAAGCACTAGCCCCATGCCTGACGTACTGCACAAGTAGCGCAACACCCTCTTAGCTGCATCCATGTGCTCCTTCCGGTGACGGCCGGGAGCAACATAGCGTGCTAAGATACTGAGAGGGTATGCTAGGTCAGGTCGAGTGCAGGTCATCAGGTACATGAGGCAGCCCACAAGCTCTGGATACGGACCACTCGACTCTACGGACTCATCCAAAGGCAGAGCTGAGAGCGAGTGACCCGTAGGCAGAGGAGTGGACTGAGGCGAGGAGTACGTGAAGCCGAAGCGCTGAAGGACCTGCTGCACCATGTGTGACTGAGTCAGGGTAATGGTGCGGCGTGCGCTGTCCCGGGTGATCCGTAAGCCAAGATAGCTTGTCAGTTCACCCAGGTCTGTGCACGTGTGTCTCTTCTGCAGCTCGGACTTCACGTGGGCGAGTGCGGCAGTGTCCGCAGTGGCAAAGACCAAGTCGTCGACGTACTCGAGGATGTAGAACGGCGGCAGCGAGGTGTCGGTGCGCAGAAACAGCGACGGGTCAGCAGTAGAAGGAGCAAACCCAAGAGCCGCAAGTGTAGTCCTCAATGTGTCGTGCCACTCACGCGGCGCCTGGCGGAGACCGTAGACTGGCCGCCGGAGGCTCCACTGGGTGCCAGGAGGGAAAGTCCCAGTGAAGCCAGGTGGGCGGCGCAGCCAGATCTCCTCGTGCAGGCTGCCCTGCAAGAAAGCTGTGCTGAAGTCAAGAGAGTGGAGCTCGTAGTCACGCTGAGCGGCGACGTGTAGCAGAACCCGAAGAGTGGTCATCTTCGGGGTAGGGGAGAAGGTCTGGAAGAAGTCAACTCCCTCTCGCTGACTGAAGCCTCGTGCAACGTAACGCGCCTTGAAGACAGGCGGAGAGCCTGGCGACCGCTTCACCCTGAAAATCCACATACCACTGACGATGTTCGCCCCAGGTGGGGGAACGTCGTCGACGTAGGTGCCTGTGGACTTCCAGGAAACCATCTCTGTGTCCATGGCTGACTGCCACTGAGAGGATTAGGGACCAGCCATCGCCTCTGCGTAAGAGCGTGGGGTCGGGATGTCTGGTGCATCCGGGTCTCCCTCAGGGGCAACAAGCATGGACACGAGATGGGGCAAAGCAGTGGCAAGGCAACCAAACTCCTCCTGCCTGTCCTCAAAGACGTCCGTGCCAAGAGCGCACTCACCCCCGACGGACGGAGGACAGGCAGACTCAGACTCAGCAACAAGACTCGCTGCGTAGTCTAGACGACACGCAGCTGCAAAGTCGACAAGCTCAGTGACTAGGGCAGACGCAGCAGCGGACTCAAAGGAAGGGTCAGTGACAACCGTAGCCAGGAGACGTGTGACAGTAGGACTGGCAGCGCGAAGGGAGTCTGACTCCGGGTCAGCAAGAGCAGGAAGAGAGGACGCAGGAGGCGACGGGAGAGCAATCACGCTGCGGAGCAGTGGACTGACGAAGCGCCATCCGGTGCGTGCCTGGGACAGCAGGAGGACGCTCACGCGGGACACGACTACCAGTGGTAGCAGCTCGAACAGGCGATGCTCGACGAGACGCAGGTGACACAGGACGTGACGCAGGCTCACGTCTCTCAGCAAGACCGTCAGTCGGACCAGTGTAAGGAGCAGGCACGGGGAGTGGGGAGGCAGGCGGTAACTGTGGGTGTGACTGGACAGACGGCGGACACTCTAAGGCGAGAGGAGAACAAGGAGGAGGAGGCTGACCAAGAACCTGCTGAAGGAGCGGAACGAAGTACGGTCGTGGCCGTGCAGCAGCTCTCGAACCAGCAGAGACACCAGCGGCAGCAGCAGCACCTCCAGAAGCAGCAGCACCTCCAGCATCAGGGTCCGCAGCACCTCCAGCAGCACCGCCAGCAGCAGCAGCACCTCCAGCAGCACCGCCGGCAGCAGCTGCACCTCCAGCACCAGGGTCCGTAGCACCCACAGCAGCTCCAACGCCCGGGTCCTCAGTACTAGCAGCACCTCCAGCAGCACGGCCAGCAGCAGCAGCACCTCCAACAGCACCGCCAGCAGCAGCAACACCTCCAGCACCAGGGTCCGTAGTACTCGCAGCAGCGTCAACTCCGGGGACCCCTGCACCAGCAGCTCCACTACGGAGACTGATGCTGCCGAGCGTACCACTCTCGAAGCTGAGGGGAAGAGGGCGGCTCCCGCCGTGGTGGGGAAGCACGAGTACCAACTCCAGCAGTACCACGAGCCCGAGACTCACCCCGCCGGAGGCTGCAGTACCGTGAGTACCACTCACGCAGCTGCTGCGAAGAGGGAGGTCCTCCAGGCGCCTCACAGTCAACTGCAACACCACCAGGCTCAGCACCCCTAGGCTCAGCAACTCCAGGCGCAGTACCCCTAGACTCAGCAACGCCAGGCTCAGTACCCCCAAACCTAGCACCCCCAGGCTCAGCACCCCCAGGATCAGCACCCCCAGACTCAGCACCCCCAGGCTCCGCCCGCTCAGGCTCCGCACGCTCTGGCTCAGCACCTCCAGCAGGACGCGAGTCGACAGCTACCTCGGCAGGCTCAGCCGGGTCTACCTGAGAGACACCTGAGGGAGCGGCACCCTGAGGGGGAAGGGGGTCTACCACTGCAGTACCTGGTGCGAGGAAGAGAGGCGGGGGAGGGAGCGGGGCAGTGCGGTAGGGGAAGAGGCGGTAGAAGGGCACGGACTCGTCAAAAGTGACGTCCTGAGAGGGGAAGACTCGGTGCGAGGCGGGGTGGTAAAACTGCCAGCTAGACGCATCCGGGACAAAGCCAAGAAAGACACACGGAGCAGTGCGGGAGGAGAGCTTGTCCGTAGACGTGTCGCGAACAAAAGCTCGGGATCCCCAGACACGGAAGCGTGACGCATCGCCAACCTCCCCTGTCCACAGCAGTGTGGGCGAGGTTTCCGGAGCGGAGACACGGGGCCAGAGGTTGAGCTGATGCGCAGCGTACCGGACCGCAAACGGCCACAGAAAGTGGGGGGGCAGCCGCGTGGACTAAGGAGGTACGAGCGACCTCCATGACCAAGCCAATGCGGCGCTCAGCAACCCCATTCTGCTGTGGAGAGGCCGGGAGCGTAAACGACTGGCGAATGCCATGCTCGGCACAGTAGGCTGCCAAGAGGTCGGAGGAGAACTCGCCACCTCTGTCAGAGTGCAAGCGTAGAACAGGAAACTCCGAGCGAAAACGCTCTCGCAGCTGAAGACGTGCTCTGCTGATCCAAGGGATCAGAACATCACGGACTTCACCCTTGGTGCGCAAGGGGAAGACCGTGGTGTAGCGCGAGTAGTCGTCAACGACGATCAAGAAGTACCTCTCCTGGCCCTGACCACGGACGCGGGCTGGGCCCCACACGTCCATGTGGAGCGTCTGCAAAGGAGCAGTCGTCGGGGGGAACGAGGAGGAGTGAGGGGCAGCGCGCTGCCGCCCCTCGACAGAGGGAAGACAAGGAGGAGCAAGGGAGGGTGGGAGGGGAGGGAGTACCCGAGGAAGACCAGAGACAAGGTACCGGGCGTGCATGCCCCGAAGGCGCTGCACTGACGGGTGACCAAGTCGGTGGTGCCAGAGGACAGTCTTGTGCGCTAGAGAGCGACACGAGCAGGGGGCAGAGAGCTGACCTGACGCAGACGCAGACGCAGGCGCCGCTACCTGAGGGGACTCAGTGGTCAGTGTGTACAGGTCCGACCCCGGCTGCCGAGTGAAGGTAGCCAGGTGACGGCCCGTCCGAGCACACGTGCAGTGTGTCACACGCTCGTAGGCAGGGGTGAACTGGTGAACACCCCCATCATGAAGCGCACAACCCGCCACCAAGTTCGTAGAGAACGAGGGGAGGTGGAGACCTGACAGTGTGCCTGAC